ACCATTGGTAAGAAGAAGCCAGTAAAGCGAGCAATATCGGCTGCATGAAGTGCAACACTCGTATGGGCTTGCTTGCTCGGTTCATAATATTTAATGTCGAGGTGATGACAAAAGTGGCTCAATACATGAATACCAAGCACTACCCAACGGCCATCATCTAGTTGTGCCATTACGCCACCGCCACTATCGCCCTGAAACATTCAGTCCTGAAAATCATTGGAGAAACAAGGCACTACTTAGGTAAGCAGTGAGATAAGCGGACGTGCCAGGAGCATAGCAACACTGTTTGTTGTGTAGTTCACAACAGGTACAATGTACTACTTAAAGGAGTTGTTGCAGTGGGTGACTGCTGTGGGGTTTCCACATAATACAATTCATCAAAAATAATTATTGACCAACGCACGGGCTGCCTGTGCAAAGATGCGTTTTTTGCATAGCTCCTCGCAGATTTTTGTCGCATATGACACTGTTTTTTCTGGCAGATGCTTCTAGCTAAAAGAATTTCAGACTAGCCACAAGGATTGTCAAGAAACATCCCTTTAAAATTCAGTCTTCTAGTTACAAACTTACTCGAAAAAACTTTCACAGGCCCATACGTGGGAATCACTCACACCCGGGCGCTAGTTTTGAGTTCATTAATACCTACTTGAATGGGAAACATTCCCTTAAAATTACAGTCTTCTTACTTTTCAGGCTTCCGACTTAACTGCTTAAACGAGAAAAAACTTTCACGGGCCCACACAAGAATACACCGCATACCCGAGGGCTGGGTTTGAGCTCATTATGACCTATTTGGACGGGAAACATCCCCTTAAAATTCCAGTCTTCAAGCTCCTCCGGCTCCCGAGTTATCAGCTTACCCGAAAAAAACTTACACGGCCCGTACGTGTACAACGCATACTCAGGGATGGATTTGAGCTCATTAATACCACTTGGATAGGGAGCATCCCCTTACAATTCCAGTCCTCTAGCTTTTCAGGTCCTCCAGTTAGCTGTTACGACGGCGACGTTACGATGACATTACGACGAATGTTTCGCAGATTATTCGGACGGGGTACGACGAGCTTCGGACGAGACTTGGATGAACGCCAATGTGCTGCATATGCTTAGTGGAGAGGCTAAAGTAAACAAAAATGAATTTTATCAACACCAATAAAAGTTCACAGTTGAGTAATTGGGGCGGCGAGGTCAAGCCGAACGATTACAGCGACAACCGCTACAGACGGAACGCTGATCACTGGAGCGCAGCAACACACAGCTGCAACTGAACATTGGAAGCCGAATACTGAATAGTGAATACTGGACACTGAACACGGAACACTGAACTTTACAACACTGCAGGCTTATGTGTTCATCGCAAAGGGCAGGACAGATCACAGGTCAATCTGCTGCGCGATTCTGGATTGCTCTTTGCTTCTCCTCCGCGCCATCTTTTGCTCTCTGTACATAGCGCAACTACCCGATATAAACTTTGACGGGACTGTACATGGGTACCACGCGTACCCTGTGTTTGGATTTGAACTCTTTGAGACTTATGTGGACAAGAAAAATTCCTTAAAATTTTAGCCTTCAAATTTTTCGGTTTCTCGAGTTAGCAACTTATCCGAAAAAAAAAATTTGACGGGCCCGTACGTGGGTATTACGCATTCCTGGAGTCTGGGTTTGGTCTCAATGAAACTTAGGTGGACGGGAATATCCTCTTAAAATTACACTCCTCCAGCTTTTCAAAATCTCGAGTTAGCAACTTACCCAAAAAAAATTTGTTGGGTAAAGCGGGAAATCCGATGGCGCGCAGTTTTGGCGAGCAGTTTCGGAAAGGTCGTTTGGCTTGGTGATCTGCCGTTTCCTAGTGGTCACTGTTGATTTTTACGCGCTAAAATCATG